AGCTGTGCACCGTTATGGTGTAAATATAACCTATCTCAGGGCTGCCTAACATTTGAGTTCAGCTTGGAGTGAGATTTTTTTTGGTGAACCAAAAAAGAAACGTTCATGTGTACAGTGTTACAAATGTATTGAACATGTACAAACTAGAGTTTCCCATTAATATACCGGGCGCTACAGTGGAATACGCACATACAGTGTACCCGCGACTCTTACAATGAAGGCTCGATAATCAGCTCACAGCATATAAAATGGCATATAGGTGTAAGCAGAGGTAATATGCTATTAATGTGCTATTTTTTCTTTAAATATTGAAGTTAAATGCATCAACCTGGTGCATTTTGAGAGCAACATTAAGAGATCTATGGATACATCTCTCAACACCCATATGAAACAGAACTGTAAACAGATTTTCTTTTTCTTTATGGATATTTTACAAGCCTCCTGAGGACCCTGCGAAATGAGACGGTCTACGGAGCATGTCCTTGTACGTCACCGGCAGTTACCCCTACATTTTGCCGCCCCCGTCACCTAGCAACCAGCTGCAGTCACAAGTGCCGGTAATAATTTCTGACTACTAAGTTCAAAATGTTTTCAAAACTGTTTTCAAAACTGTTCAATATGGAGTCAGATCTAGCTGTACTTATTTTGGTGTTAATTATGTTTAAATTATTTTCCCGAGGTCGCAACAGGCCCCCGTGAAGAGGGCTTCATTCTCCCCGCGCATCTGGATAAATTGCGCAGTCTGCTCCTTGCTCCCTATCAAAACAAAATTGTTGCAGTAAGATTTGTATAACAAAAGCAGTTAAATAAATAAATTAGCTTTATAATGAATCCCAACAATATGAAAACCAAACAGGGTTTAGAAATATTTTCACTTCATATTATTTTATGTATGTAATATAAAGAAGACATCTCCAATTGCCCGTATATTTAAATACACAAATTAAATAGGTTTACTTTTCTTTCATGTCGTTTACTATTTGGGTGAGTACATTTAAAAACGAATCCAGCTGAAACCGTTGTAGCCGTTGATGGGACGTTACAAGCCTTATATTTTTTTTAAAACTCATTCGTCACCGTCACCCGTTGCATCCTGGGATATGGTACACCGCGGAGTGTACATCAGATGTATCCTCTAAATCTGGGGAAAGAAGGCTGCATTCGGAGGAGTCTTGTCTTTTTTTTGAATTGGGACAGCCTTCGTTTGGCGGAAGTGACGTATGTGGTCTCCGAATGCATCCTTAGGAGGATGCGGCCGCTGAATTGGGACACAGCTTTTCTTTATTACTTCATTAAATATAACAAAAGAAACACTTTGTCCACAGTAGTAAGAAAATACAGTCCTTCATATATTTAAAGAACCAGGTGTTCCTTTGCATTGACGACCGCCTCGCTGCTCATCATCCCTTATTGAAGATATCAATATTCACCTGTGATGAACATGTCGATGGCCGACGGGTCCTGAGCCACCTGGTCCTGAAACACACAGCATGCACTTTAATAACATTTATGTTTCTCTCAATTTGGAGAAGGGTGATGACACTAAGGCAATGACAGCCTGAACAACAAGTTCAAACCTGCTCTGAGGTCATCAGAGTGAGACAGAGGGACCGTGCACTTTCTGATGTCTTTCATACAGAAACTGTCTCTCCCCTGGAACAGAGGGATATGAGGGATTTCTAGAATTATCCGTTTGGTATTTTGAGCATAATGAACGCGTCCTTCATATATTGTTATATATCTGAGACTATATGCCCAGTAGCACGAGTCTTTAAGACTAATCACTTTTCAAAATCATTCATCCCCACTTTTTAATTCTCGATAGGCTTTTTAACTTGATCATGTATTCACTTATTGATTGTGATGCTATGAACATCCAGGCTCCTTCCCTCCTGTGTACAGAAGCTGCTCTTTAGGCCCCTTGAGGAATTCAGAAAGCTGTTGATTGATTGATTGAGTGATTGAGTGATTGATTGATTGATTGATTGAGTGAGTGAGTGATTGAGTGATTGATTGATTGATTGATTGAGTGATTGAGTGATTGAGAGATTGATTGATTGATTGATTGATTGATTGAGTGAGTGATTGAGTGATTGATTGATTGAGTGAGTGATTGATTGATTGATTGAGTGATTGATTGATTGAGTGATTGATTGAGTGATTGATTGATTGATTGAGAGATTGATTGAGTGAGTGATTGATTGAGTGATTGATTGATTGATTGAGTGATTGATTGATTGATTGATTGATTGATTGATTGAGTGATTGAGTGATTGATTGATTGATTGAGTGATGTGATTGAGTGATTGAGTGATTGATTGATTGATTGATTGAGTGAGTGATTGAGTGATTGATTGATTGATTGATTGATTGATTGATTGAGTGATTGATTGAGTGATTGATTGAGTTAGTGATTGATTGATTGATGGAGTGATTGATTGAGTGAGTTGATTGATTGATTGATTGATTGATGTCCTACGGGGCAGGGGTAGAAGCTCTCGAACTTGTGGCGCCCCTCGGCCGGCTGCAAGGCCATGTACTGGCTGAGGCCGGTGTGGAAGCAGAAGGTCAGCGGGAGGCAGCGTCTCATGCCCTTCCTCTGCTGGAAGCCCCCCGCCGCCGTCTCCACGTCCAGAAGCACCTCCGAGCGGTAGTGGTTGGACAGAGACATGCTGCCCATCAGCCTGAGAGACAGAGAGAGACAATCAGAGACAAGCTGCCCATCAGCCTGAGAGACAGAGAGAGACAATCAGAGACAAGCTGCCCATCAGCCTGAGAGACAGAGAGAGACAATCAGAGACAAGCTGCCCATCAGCCTGAGAGACAGAGAGAGACAATCAGAGACAAGCT